GGTAAGCAGATAAACATCAAATTTTCATTTTTGGGTGAACTATCCCTTTAAGCAGCACATCTGTTTTCAACATTGATTATAAGAAACCAAATGAGCTTTTCAGAATGATTTTTGAAGGATCATCTGACACTGAAGACTAGAGTAATGATGCTGAAAATGTAGCTTTGCCATTACAGGAATAAATTACATTTGTAATTAGATTAAAATAGAAAACAATTAAGGGTAACACTTTACAATAAGGTTCATGAGTTAACATTAGTTAACTACTTTAACATGAATTAAGAATGAACAATACTTCTACAGTATTTATTAATCTTAGTTTGTTAATTTCAACATTTACTAATGCATTATTAAAATCAAAAGTTGTGCTTGTTAACATTGATTAATGCACTGTGAATTAACATGAACTAACAAAGAATGACTGTATTTTCATTAACTAACATGAACAAGAATTAATAAATACTGTAATAAATGTGTTGTTCATGGTTTGTTCATGTTAGTTAATACATTAACTAACATTAACTAGTGTAACCTTACCCAATTAAGTTATAATAATATTTTACAGTGTAATTTTTTATTTTTTTTTTTAATCATACTCTTAGTCAAATAAATGCAGCCTTGGTGAGCTCTTAATATTATTTTCATCTGTTCTCACATTTTCGGTAGCTCTTGCCAATGGGTAGAATCACTGCAACAAAGAGACCGAGACGAAAACCGAAAGAGCGGCTTGAAAATGCCTGTCCCAACAAGACTGAAGCTTCTCCAGAGCAGGTAGTATGTTTTTTTATTTTTTATTTTTTTTTGTAATATAAAACAAGAACACAGAATTGGACAGTAATTTTAAATGATCCCAATGGGATCAAATAAGAATCCTACTGAATAAACCGATTTTTTTTATTTCAGCAATGCTGTACACGTTCTTTTAAGATTTGACTAGGTCATTAGGTGACTAGGTGACTTGATGTTGGTCAAAGCAGTATGATAACAGCAGAGAATTTGTTCAGTGCTGTTGTTTTTATACTTCACTTTATAAATCTCTCCATAAGGAACCTGCCAGAGGAGGGCCTCGCATTAAGCATGTATGCAGAGCTGCAGCTGTGGTTTTGGGTCAGCCTCGTGCCATGGTCCCCGACGACATCCCCCGACTCAGTGCACTACCCCTGCACGAGAGATCAGATATATCCCCTTCACCTGCAGAAAAAGGTACCAGCACTTACACTGCAAAGATGACCAATAAACCCAAGAAAGGATCTGATAATAGACCTAGATCTAATGTGTTGATATTGTCTAATACCTTTTGTTAATTATGTATCAAACCCGTGTTTTGACATATTCTGTCACTTTTACAGGAGTTGAGTCTCACTCTGACCCAGAAAGCCCTGTATTACAAGATCACAGGACACCCAAGTTTCGCCGTGGTAGGGCTCACTTGTTTGGGAACCGGTCCCGACGGTGTGGGGAGTGTAAAGGTTGTCTGCATGAGGAGGACTGTGGCAGGTGCATAAACTGCTTGGACAAACCCAAGTTTGGCGGCCCCAACACAAAACGGCAGTGCTGCATGTAAGTATGCTAATTGTTTTTGTATTCTTGTATTTTACTGCTATGACTGCTTGAGACTCACTTCATAGTTTATGCAGTTACTGGGCGAAGCCACCTTTTTACACGTCACATTTTACATTAAAGCGGGAATCTTTACACTTTGTAAAAATTCATTATTATAGTAATATTTATACAATATTACAGTTTATAAGGAAAAAATAGTTACTTTCTTAACAGACAGTGTTATTTATAAACTATTATGGTATGTATTAATATTTTGAAATGGCCTATTTATTTGTTTTATTTTATTTTTCATTTTAGTTTAAGTTTTAGTAATTTTGTTGTGCTTTTGTAATTTGTATTACTATTTTGTTTTTTAATATTTCTATTTAGTTTTAACTTATTTGTAATTCACTTATAGTCATTTTAGTACTTAAACATATTTATTTCCAAGTTATTCAGTTCTCAAGGCAACATTTCTGTCATTTATGTCAATAAAATGAATGTTTGTTTATTTTTTTAATATCTGTCCCTGAACAGTTTAATTCAGTGTTGTGCAGTGGTTTTCTTGCTTTTGTCAGATTCAAGGCCCTCATATTTTTCAAACTAAGATCAGTGCAGTCCTGTCCAAATTAAATAGCTTTTTTTTTTCTTTCTTTTTTAAAAGATACAAGAGATGTGATCAGGTTGAGGAAAGGAAGGCCTTGAGACTAAGTGGCAAGCTCCAAAAAGGTAAGAACAAGTTTTAGAGTGAATGCAAGCATTCAAAATGAACTGCACTGTTTATCCTCTGTGTGTCAGCTAAAACGTGTCTCCATTTTCAGGGCATGTGAAGAAGCGGCGCTCATCGATAAGTGCGGGGCACTCAAGTAATGAGGAATGTGAGGGCAGTGATGGGATCGGGCAAATGTTTCCAGCCTCTCTAGGTGACAGTCCGTCTGTGCGGAAACAGCCCCGCCGACACGTAAAGCCACGTTCCTACTGCGACCTGCTGGATTACGACTCTGACTTTGACTGGATAGGAGGATCAAATTCCACCTCCCCAGCCCGCAGAAGAACTCCTGGCCTTCGCAACTCAGGTTAGACCGTAGTATGGAAGCTTATTTTCACCAGAGAATAAAACAATTGCAATTCTGACTTTTCTCGCAATTTGATATTTTCTTGCAAGTTTATATCTCACAATTTGGACTTTTTTCACACAATTCTGAGAAAAAAAGTCTGAATTATGAGATATAAACTCGTAAACTTGTGAGAAAAAGTCAAAATTGAGAGAGAAAAATTACATTTTTATTACCTTTTTTGTTTTATTCCTTCGCGGAAGGTATAAATAAAAGTTTTTTATCACGCAATTCTAATCTTTTTCTCAGAATTACGAGTTTATATCTCGTAATTTTGAGCTTATATTTCACAATTCTCTTTTTTTTTCTGAATAATGAGAAATAAGTTAGTTATGAGTTATGAACTTGCAATTGCTGGAAAAAAATGTCAGAATTGTTAGATGATAATAATAAAAAAATATTTTTTACAATTAATTTTTTTTTTATTACTTGACAGAAGCAAGCTTGTTACAGTTCTGACTTTTCATCTTGCAATTCTAACCTTTTATTGTTTATATCTCACAGTTATGAGTTTATAGTTTGCAGTTTCTCAGGACTGCAAGATAAAAAAGTCAGAATTATGAGATTAAAAAGGCAAAATTGCCTTTTTTGTGTTTTGTGATGGAAACAAGCTCCCATACCGTAGTGATCGGAAACCTATAACTTTTTTTTTTATATATATATAATTGGAACCTATGGAAGCCCGTTTCCGCCACTGAATAAAAAATAAAAAAGGTAATTGCGACGTTTTATTTCACAATTCTGACTTTTTTCTCATAATTGCGTGATATAAAGCGAGTTATAAAGTCAGAATTGTGAGATATAAACTCACAGTTCTGAGAAAATATCAGTCCCCCCCCTCATAATTGGACTTTAACTCGCAATTGCGAGTTTATATCACGCAATTCTGACTTTATAACTCGCAGTTGTGAGTTTATATCACGCAATTCTGACTTTATAACTCGCTTTATATCACGCAATTCAGAGAAAAAAGTCAGAATTGTGAGATAAAAAGTCGCAATTACCTTTTTTATTTTTATTCAGTGGCGGAAATAAAAGTCAGAATTGCAAGATATATACTCACAATTATGAGAAAAAAGTCAGAATTAAGAGATAAAAAGTCGCAATTACCTTTCTTATTTTTATTCAGTGGCGGAAATAAAAGTCAGAATTGCAAGATATATACTCGCAATTGTGAGAAAAAAGTCAGTTATATCTCACAATTCTGACTTTATAACTCGCAATTGTGAGTTTATATCACGCAATTCTGAGAAAAAAAGTCAGAATTGTGAGTTTATATCTCGCAATTCTGACTTTATATCTCGCAATTCTGAATTTATAACGCCCAATTGCGAGTTTATATCTCACAATTCTGTGAAAAAATTGAATTGTGAGATAAAAAGTCGCAATAACCTTTTTTTTTTTTTTTTTTTATTCAGTGGCGGAAACGGGCTTCCATAGGAACCAGAATCTTGTTTGTTTCACAAATAATTTACATGCATTTCTGTTTGCATTAAATGCACCACAGATTTTGTGTCATTCGACGACTTCATTGGCGATGCTTTTGATGAGGGAGTGCGGCATCGCAGACCAAGCTTCCACAAGGTTCCACCCATTAAACGGAAAGTTGAGAAGGTATTCATATTGTTGAGGCTCTCATAACTGTCCTCATTCAGCCAAAATGTAATCGAAACAGCGAAAGCAACTTCCATTTTTCCTTTGTTTGCAGAGCCCTCAGGAACAGACGCCGCCCAGCATCCTTGCAGCCCTCGCCAATGGTTTTGCAGAGAGAGAACAGGAGCCCGCAGAGCCCACACACAAGATCCGTGTTGATTTTAAGGTAAATGGCTATATTCCTTTACAAAACTGAACATGAAAGTCAAGTGGCTCTCTAAAGATGTTTTCATGTTGTGGGATTGGCTGATATTTCATTTGTAATCTACACAGATGTTCAGCACTGCAGTGGTTTGCCACATGATGGCAGCACCTGATTCTGTTATGGAAGGATCAGGGTTACCCAGCAGAATAGTCTTGATATATTAAGATATTTGTAATGTTTTTGAAAGAAGTATCTTATGCTTGCCAAGGCTGCATTTATTTGGTCAATAATACAGTAAAATATTGTGTAATATATTTAAAAATCACTGTTTTCTATTTTAATATATTTTAAAATGTATTTCTGTGATGCAAAGCTGAGTTTACTCCAGTCTTCAGTGTCACATGATCCTTCAGAAATCATTCTGATACTCTGATTTGCTGCTCAAGAAATATTTCTTATTGTAATCCATGCTGAAAATTGTTGTGCTGCTTAATATTTTGTGAAAATCGTCGTAACTTTTTTCAGTATTCTTCGATGGACAGAAAAGCACAGCATTTATTTGAAATCAAAATCTTTTGTATCATTATAAATGTTTTTACTGTCACTTTTGATCAATTTAATGCATCCTTGCTGAATTAAAGTACTAATTTCTATTAAAAAAAAAGCAAACTTAATCATGATTTGTAGGAAGTCTGATCTCTTTTACACAGGAGTTAACATGCACAAACTTGCTTGCATTTGATTAGTGATCTACTTATAATGCATATTAATCTTGAATATGCAATGTATTTATAAAAAAAAATTTAAAAATCATAACACAGGTTTACATTCCAGGATTAAATTTGATTTTGAATCCCATTTGTTCTGTGTGCTCAGACTTTTGGACCCATTTCATATTTCTCTTAAAATAAAATGTTTGCAGACCAAGAAGCTCATTGGTGTCGATGTTTAGTTGTGTTGTGCATTCAATCTCACATAGCTTTTTTTTTATCGTCATCATGTCCTATTTTAATTCAAAGAGAGTTATCTCTGGTCCTCTATCTTCAGGGGAAAGCATGCAGCTAAAATGTTCATTATTCCTCTCTGTCTCTCTCCACAGGAGGACTGTAGTGTGCAGAGCGTGTGGGCGACAGGAGGTCTGAGCATCCTTACTTCTGTACCCCTCGTACCCCAGTATGTCTGCCTGCTGTGTGCCAGTAAAGGCCAACATGAGGTATGTCCTGACTGCTCGACATTACAGCAATGTCTTAAAAATGTTGTAGGCAAAAAAAAAATTAGGTTCTCAGAATACGTTATAATAATGGGGAAGTTTCACTGGTATTATGGGAACCTGGACATATTTATTTTCGTCATCATGTCAACCAATGTTTTGCAGATGCTGTATTGTCAGGTCTGCTGTGAGCCTTTCCATCGCTTCTGCTTGGACCCTTCAGAGCGCCCACTGGAGGAGAACAAGGAGAACTGGTGCTGTCGGCGCTGCAAGTTCTGCCGAGTTTGTGGATGCAAGAATAAAGAATCCAAGGTAGTTTTCGATGCTTTGAAATGTGAACCCTAATCTGAATGGATTCACCTAAGAATAAGAAGCTGAGATTGTCTTAACCAAAGTTCTTTAGGAGTGTAGAGCAAAATTATGAACATTTTGTGATGTAAACTACCATTCAAATGTTTGTGCTTGGTAAAAAATGTTTTTTTTATGTTTTTGAAAATCTGTTATGCTCACCAAGGCGGCATTCAGAAATAGAGTAAAATCCGTAATATTGTCAACTTCTATTACAGTTTTAAATAATTTTCTTTTTGAAAATATTTTTCAATGTCATTTATTACTGTGATGCCAAAGCTGAATTTTCAGAAGCAGTTGAAATCAGTTGTGCTGCTTCATGTTTTTGTGGAAACTGTGGTACTTTTTGGTTTGACAAATAGAAAGTCCAAAAGAACAGCATTTATTTTAAATAGAAATCGTTTGTAATATTATAGATGTCTTTACTGTCACTTTTCGTCAGTTTAATGCTGAATAGAAGTATTAATTTCTTTTGGGAAAAAATCTTAATGACTTTAAAAAATGACAAATATTTCCCTGAAACCTACAGAGGTGACGAAAAATTTTATTCAGTACCGTTCAAGAGTTTAAAGGAAACAGATGTTCTATTACAGCTTTGGCACTGGTTGATATATTTTTTTTTGTGCTTGATCTCTGTGCAGCCTCTGCTGGAGTGTGAAAGGTGTCAGAATTGTTATCATCCTGCCTGTCTGGGTCCCAACTACCCCAAACCCAACAAACGTAAGAAGCCTTGGGTAAGTTGACCGCAGTGGAACTTTCCTCAGCATGCAAGACCTACAAAGAACTTTCAGTATGCTTTGCTGTCTCAGCTCCCATGATATTGCATTTCATTAAAAAATGTAAAAGCAAAAAAATACTGGAAAATCCTCGTTTGTATTGTAACTTCAGTTAATCCACAAATGAAAATTCATTTTTTTCAGGTTTGTATGACATGCATCCGGTGCAAGAGTTGTGGTGTGACCCCAGGAAAGAGCTGGGACACCGAGTGGAATCATGACAAGGGTCTGTGTCCTGACTGCACTAGGTTGTTTGATCAAGGTGAGACTTGTAGGATCTTACTATCTGACAGTCAGATTTTTATATAGCCCTATAATAAATTATGCAGGTGTTCAGCATTTTATTTATTTTTTTTGGAGTTAGCATAATACAATGACTTTAGTTGCCATTTGCCTATGCTCTGCAGCTGTTTCATCAGCTGACTCTCACTGGGGTAAAGTTTCCTGTTAAGGAAGGGTTCATGTGTTATTAATATTTTCCTGTTGTTCATGTGCTAGTACTAAATGTTATAATTTGACTGGGTTTTATATTGAGAATGTATATTTTTATGCTCTCTCTCTCTCTCTCTCTCTCCCTCCCT